ATGATAGCTTTCATATAAGTATCCACCTTCCAAATTCAAGACTTTTTTGATAACAAATACAGGTGAATTCCATGGACAATTTGATTCTTCTGTATGTACAGCATTTAGCAGTTCCTGAAATAACTCAGCAAAGAGCTAGTCATTTTCATGAATTATCCTTATATTTACATAAAAACCACAAACAACATCTGCCATTCTTTCTCTTAATACATTCTCCATAAAATCTTACAGTCAGGTATAGAAGAAGTAACAACAATCACAACTTTGTTATAGAAGAAATATCCTGTCTGTGTTTGAGGACCAGTGCAATTCATGCTAGAAATAAGAGTCAGGATACAATTACATCAATGATATTTTTTACTTCTAATTAGTTGCAGGTGGGAATTTCAAAGTCCTCTTCACATTCAGGTGGGAGAGGCAATCATTGAATCTTAGTCTGTTGTGCAGGTCCCTCCATACAATGACAGATTTCAGAACCACAGGATCTATAACATGAGGGGACCAAAAAATAAATTTTCTGTGATGTCACTGTCTTGGCACTTATGTTTTGATTCATAGAATATTGATCACATCCATCCCTTTCAGTCCATTGGCATTAAAATGACAGAGTCTAGAATTCCCTTGTCAAGTCACCGAAATGTTCAACAAATTTTACTTATCCCTCTGTGCTTTTTCATTGAAAAGACTCCAGTTATGTGAATGTCATTTTGTAAAATATTGTAACCACCACAATCTAACGTTTTCTGCTCTTAGGTAATTAAGACATCTTAAATCGTAATCCTTCTCATGATTTCCTATCTCATCTTCTAAAATCTCAGTACCTCAAATGCCCATTTATGTGCATCTGTTCCTGATCCAGAATTCTGAACTTTTTGCTATCAATAGCCAAGGAGAACAGACAATACACATTAATAATCGACATTTCTGATTCAAATGGCTCTGCACTCTGACAATGTACACTTAGAGATTGCAATATCTGTTTTCTTTGCCTGTCACAGGGAGGTCTTTAAGAATATTTCCAATATGAAAGCACTCAAAATTTGTATTTAACTGTTTAAGGCATGAGAGAAACTTTTACTGTATTTTTCAAAAGTTGGAGCACAATGAGACCTTCATGAGGCTCATGATCAGGCACATTAGCAAGAATTTTAGTTACAAAAAAACCTTCTCTATTTAGGGATACCTATAACTGAAATTTAGAAATTTAAGGAGAGTTAAAATGTGGTAGTTTACCATAGATAGGCATCATCAGACAGAACACACAAACCAAAAGGCCTACATTGAAAATGCTTTTGATATTACTTTAGACATACCAGATACACATCCATAAATTTGATGGCATTTGAATACATGCTACATGACTCTACAAAATTTTGACTGTTATTGACAAAACAGAAAAATGCATTCAGGATTGTGAAACAAAGGACATTCTGTGGAAGTGTATAGGAGAAGATGATGTAATCTTTTAAAAATACAGAGGAGGAGGAAGAAAAGTGCAGTAAGCATTTCATAATGATTATATTCTCATGAAATCCAAAAGATGGAATGCCTCTAAAATTAACCAGATGATGACCTTTGCTATTTTATTACTTTAATTTTAAATATTTTGCTTCACATATCAATCCCAGTTCCCTCTCCCTCCCTATCCCCGCATCCACCAACATAAACCCCAGCCTGCCAGGCTTGTCCAAATCCCTTCCACAAAGGGGATACCCATAGTTTTTAATTTCACTGAGGTCAGGGTCCAGACACTCCCCTAAGATTCCAGGTTGAGACATCATCCCTCTTTATATTATGGACACACAAAGTCCATATGTATGCCTGGGGAAAGTACTGATCTACTGCCCAGTGCCCAATTGGTTGTCGAGGCCTGCTCACTGAATCTTACACTCAGGAGTTCAGGATCAGTCCCATGCTGGCCTCCCAGCTGTCAGTATGGTTTCCAAGGTTTCTGCCTTTTTGAGATCAGCTGTCTCTGCTGATTTTGCCAGCCCATTCTTTGGGAATATGCGCATTGCTGCTCTCTGTTGCTAGGTTCAACAGGTACATTTAGGGGTTTAACTGTGGATGTTTGCCTCTGCTTCCATCAGTAACTGAATGAAGTTGATAGGATGGCATATAAGATACACGTCAAGTTCATTATCAGTAATTGGCATTTAAGATAGTCTTTCCACAAACGCTTTGCTTGCCTGTTCGTGTCATCCTTTTAGATAGCTAGAGGGTTCACCAGTTTCTAGACCCTCTTCAAACTTATGACTCCATCTATTAATCCTGTTCTCCCTCTATTCTATTCCCACTCAAACTTCCTTTTCCCCATGATCTACTCTCCCGTACACTTCTCCACCCCTTCTCTTCTTCACATGTCCCACTCCCCCCACATCTTCTGCCATGTTCCCAAACTGTTCAGGAGATCTTGCCTCATTCCTCTTCTTTGGGGTACAGGTTCTTTCCTGTTTCACAGAATCTCTGTCAGTGAAATTGCAGACTGGCACTATCCTGATACATATCTAAAATCAATATAAAAATTAGTATATACCATGTTTGTCTTTTTGTAACTGGGTTACCTAAGTCAGGATGGTTCCTTTTATTGCCATCATTTGCCTGCCAATTTCAAGATTCCAATTTTTTTCTGCTGAGTAATACTCCATTGTGTGAATTTACAGCATTTTCTCTATCTTCTCATCAGTTGAGGGGCATCTGAGTTGTTTCCAGGTTTTGGCAATTACAAATATGCTATTATGAACATAGTGGTACAGATGTCCTTGTTGTGTGAATTAGAATCTTTTGGATAAATGCCTAAGAGTGGAATTCCTGGTCTTGTGGTATACTGATAACCATTTTCCTGAGGGATGTACATACTGATTTCCAAAATGGGTGTATGAATTATAACTCTCACTAGCAGTGGCAGTGTGCCCCTCTCTTTACATCCTCTCTGTCATAAATTGTACTACTGTATTATATTCAGGAAGCAGTTTCATGTACCAATTCATTGAAGAGTATCTCCTTATGTCTCTTCGAAGAGTTTCAGTTTGGTTGAATTTAGGTTTACATCTTTAATCCTTTTGGACATAAGTTTTGAACAATGTGTTACACATGGATCTATCTGCAGTCTTCTGCATGCCAATATACAGTTATGCCAGTATCGTTTGTTGAAGATGGTTTATTTTTTCCATTGTACAATTTTCATTTCTTTATCAGAAATCCAGTGATTATAGGTTTGTGGATCAATGTCAGGGTGTTCAACTCGATTATATTGTTCTACCTGTCTATTTTTCTGCTAATACCATGATGCATTCAAGACTATAGTTCTGTAATAGTGCTTGAAGTTAGGGATGGTGATGCCTCATGAAATTCCTTTATTGTATATGGTAGTTTAGGCTATCCTGGATCAATTTATCCCATTTTTTCCACTAGCATTCTAGGTCACATAGCATGGAATTCCTTGTGAGGTCATTGATGTAATCACCAAATATCATTAGTCATTCTGTGCTTCTTCTTTGAAAAGACCTCAGCTGTTTGAATGGCATCTTGTAAAATCTCTTTTAACCATCTCAATCATAACCTTTCAGTTCCAATGTAAACATGCTATCTTAAACCTTAAAGCCTCCTATGATTTCCTAATTTAATATTCAAAATTTTCTGATTTATATGTCTGTGAACTCTTACAATGTTGTCTCAGAGTTTTCATGATTTATTTTGTTTTTCTGTTAAAGGGGTTACTCTAAGCATACTTTGTGTAGAAAAGCACGCACACCTGCACTTAACCTTTAAAGAATGAGATAGCGTTTTACTGTACTTCTTCAGAAAGTTGGTATATAATGTGAACCACAGGAGACTCATGATCAGACAAGTTATCAAGAATTAATGTTGCAAAAAATTATGCTCCTTTTGTACCCTGGGGAATGTCCACTATTCAGACCAAGCACTCAAGGGGGATCATTAGAATTCTTTTCTGGGGACCATAAGGCAGATGGAAACTCACAGTGTTAATGTGCACTAATGGACATATTAGTAAGACAAACACAGATACCATTTAATTTTCTTAGGTGGTTCTTGTGCAATTAATAATCTTGAAGGTACATATCCCACAATGGTGCTTAGGCAGAAATGTCACAGGGAAATTATAAAGCATTGCACAAAGATCAGCAGATGAGTCTTCTTGGACCTTGTAAGACACAATATATGATCACATGTTAAAATGTTTTCAGCATTCCTTTAATATGCCTTCCCAATGCTCTGTCAGGTACCTCAAAGAATGGGAACAGTGACGATGAGGGTGGAACAAATGAATGGTTAAAATTGTTTAGGGATTGGGTAGCATGACATGTTAGACCCCTGGACAGCACAATTAAAATGGTTGTGAAAGCCATTATTGTATTAAAATGGTTGTGAAATCAATTATTGTATGAAAAGGATTGTGAAAGCCATTATTGTATGAAAATGATTGTGAAAGTGATTATTGTATGACAAGGATTGTGAAAGCCATTATTGTATGAAAAGGATTGTGAAAGCCATTATTGTATGAAAAAAATTTTCTTGTTGGGCTGGAGAGATGGCTCAGAGGTTAAGAGCATTGACTGCTGTTCCAGGGGCCCTGAGTTCAATTCCCAGCAACCACATGGTGGCTCACAACCATCTAATATTCAATTTGGTGCCCTCTTCTGGCATGTAGGCAGAAAAGTGCATATGTAAAAAAATAAATCTTTAAAAAAATTTTTTTCTTGTTGAATATGGAGGAGGGGTGGGTTGAAGAGGGTGGAGGGGAGGTGGGAGAGAGTGGGGGAGAGACTTCGGTCAGGATGTAAAATTAATTAATAATTATTAGGAAAAAGACTATAGGATGATAGAAATTTCATATTATTAAAATATGTTTATGTATAAAAATTTTAGGGGTGCTGGTGGAGGGACAAGGGAGGAGGGGTGGGAGAGGGAGCTGGGATTGACAACTGAAGCATGCATGTTTCTAATTTAAATAAAAGCATAAAAAAAGAGCTAAAAATGTTTTCAGCAAACCTTTAATATGCCTTCCCAATGCTCTGTCAGGTACTGCAAACAATGAGAACAGTGACGATGAGGGTGGAACAAATGAATGGTTAAAATTGTTTAGGGATTTGGTAGTTAGACCCCTGGACAGCACAATGGCGTTTTCTTGGTATTGTGTGCCTGCCAGCTGCTCATCATAACTCATTCAAATTAAATCAGGATTCATTTATACTGGATGTTGTTCAGGGAATAACCCTGACACTGTCTTTTTTATATTTTATTTTCCAGTTTAAATTTAGATAAGAAACAAGGTTGCTTCCGTTGGCCTTTCCTGGGAAGTCATTAGGGATGCAGGTCCACAAGACAAACATCATCATAGTGAACAAGAAAGTCTATGGTGCCAAGGCTCACAGTAACCCATATTTATCAATCCCTCTAGGTTAACATTTGAAAGTCACTACTGGAGTTTACTAGTCAAATAAATAGGCAGTCCACAAAAAATTGTTTAGGGATGCAAACATGTAAACAAAATAAAAATTTGTCATTATCTCCCCCATGGCATTGATTAGTAATTGTCTCCAATTATCATGATTGAGGCGTTGGGCTTTCAGAAGCTGTGCGTTGCAATTCTGCTGGCACTAACTTACAACTATTAGCGTGCCAAACTTTTCCTTGACTAAGACAATTGACTGTGCTTGATCCCTTACAGGAATCTAATGCCGGCTGAACATTTGTCTGAAGGTTTCAGAGACATACCTGCTGGATGGTCTTTATCAGACTGGTAAGTAGCACTGTTTGTGCCGTAATAACAGGTATAGCTACCCGTTCTGAGAACGCAGAACTATGATGAAAAACCAATGTCATGAAGTGAGTTGATGACATAAAAATCATGCACACAAGGCCTATGTTGAGGCACAGGCTAAAGGACAGGATAGAAATTAGGGCATAATCTATTCAAGTATTTACCATAGGCCAGTGCACAGGCCCAAATTCTCCCAGCAGTTTTTTCCCTGTCTGGGGTATCCTGTGACGTCCAGGTGCTCTTTGTGAGTAGAGCACTGAGACTGCTTCAGAAGGCACTTTTTGGGGCAACCTATGTATGTCAATGCTGGCTGTTATCAGCATTCTGCTCATTTCCATATCTTCTATCTCCATTTCAGTGATCAAGAATGCCAATTTGGTGCCCCAGTCATTTCACCTTCAGGTAAGTGGAAAGATAAGGTTAAGTTCTTCAGAATCTTTTGGATGTCTGTCTTCAAATATTAGAAAGCATGACATTCTTTGAATCCGGTGACACATAAAGAACAGAACTTGTGCTCTCCCTTCTCCTAGGCATAAAATGATTAAAGGATGGTATTTCAAATTGCCTTGTCTTGTAGAATTCAAATTAGTAGGCATTGGAATCAGAACAATGACAATTGGGGGAGGTGGGACATAAGGATTGGTTCAGGACATTCAGGCCCTGAATGTTGCACAGCTCAGTAGAGCTGAATGTGAACTTGATATTCCTGTCTTTGGGAGTCTTTCTACCTCCCTTGCTGATTGATAGATCACGGGCAGGAGCTTCATGTTCTTGCTGAGTAAGGAGGGTGATATGCTCCAAACTTGCAAAGATGGCACTTAGAAATATCCACCTTGCAGGCCATCAAATGAGAGAGATCAATTGGTTACTCCTCTGTGGCTCATAATGTAGACGGAGACTCACAAAGTTCTAGTGCACTAATGAACATATCAGTTAGGCAAACTCAGATTCCTTTTCCTTTCTTTAAGTTTAATGAACTTGCCTTTCCATGCAGGCATCAGGACAAATAAGGAAATTAGACAGGGTGTATCTAGGCAGTCATTCCCCACTTTGCCTAGAAGTACAGGCTCATCATCATCTGGAGACACACTCACAATACATCAGTAGCATGGAATTTCAACCACATGAAAGGCATTCCAAGCAGCAAAGGCTTCCTTTGCTCATTTGATGAGGATAGTGCTAAAAGAAAGTGTATAGGTGTCCTAATTGTGCAGTGCTTCAGAAATTAAGAACTTTGAGCATACCCATCTTACTATAGTTATTAGGCAGTCATTTCAAAGGGAAATGGTATAGTGCTGTGCAAAATACAGCAGATATTTTGGACCTTTTATGACAAAGTGCATGATCAGATGTTTTAAATGCTTTCACCAGACCTATAATGTGCCTTACCAATGATCAGTCAGCTAATGCTATGAATTCAGGCATTGTGAATGAAGGGATAAACTTGTATAGGGATGGCTAACAGGTAAACCAGTATTAAAATTTTTCATTATCTCCTCTATGGATTTGATTACCAAATGGCCCCAATTATCATGCTCGAGTGTTTGGACCTTCAGAAACTGTGAATTCCAATTCCTCTGACACTGATATAATATTTTAGCAATGAAAAGTTGTCCTTTAACAAGAGAACAGATTCTGCATAATACATTGCAGGAGTCTAATGCCCACTGACAATTTGTCTGAAGATCACCGAGACCTAAATACTACATGGTATTTGTCATCTTAGTAAGCAGCTATATTTGTGTTCTACTATGAGTTATAGCTATCCCTTCTGAGGACAAGGTCTGTAGTGACAAACGAATGATCTGAAGAGAAGTGATGATATAAAAACCATGATTAAAAGGTTATGCTGAAGCCCAGGCTAAAGGACTGGTGAGAAAGTGGGGCGTAGTATTATCATGCCTTTATAGTGGTGCAGTACACAGGCCCCTATTTCACCCAGCATTGTTTCCCTGTCTGGGGAGTCATGTGAGTTCCATGTCCTCTTCTTAGAGGAGCACTCAGCCTGCCTACGAAGGCACTATAGCAGGAAATCTATGTATGTCAATTCTGGCAAGCCTTAGTAATCTACTAATGTCAATATCTTTATTCTGCATTTCAGTTATCCAGGATGCAGTCTTGGTGCCACAATCATTTCACATTCAGGTAAGTGTGTTAAGATCAACTGGTATTCTCTCCATTGCCTAGATTCACAGGCTTATAATCCTATGGAGACCCACTCACCACACATCATGGGCCTGGAATTTCAAACACATGCATGACATCCCAAGTTCCCAGGTATACCGTTGCATATGTGAAAAGGAATGGGCCTAGATTCAGGTGTATGTATTCAGGTGTAGTGCTTGGGCAATAAATAACCTTGAGGATAAGCATCTTACAATGGTGATTAGGGAGTGATTTCAGTGGGATATGGGATAGGGATGTTTATACAACATCAGATGAGATGTTGGACAATTTATGACATAGTTCATGATCCGACGCTAAAATGTTTCCACCAGACCTATAATATGCCTTCACAATAGTCTGACACCAAATCTATGAATGCAGTTAGTGATGATGAGGGTGAAACAAGTGAAGGTTTAAACTTGTCTAAGGGTGGCAAACAGGTAACCACTATTATAATGTTTCATCATCTCCCCCATGGCCGAGATTAGCAATTGCCACTAATTATTGTGCTGCAGAGTTTGGGTGTTCCAAAGTATGTCATTGTGATTCTGTTGACAATAACCTAGCATTTTGGAACCACAAAACATTCCTTGACCTAGTAGACTAATTCTGCTTGATCCCTTGCAGGAGCCTAATGCCGGCAGACCATTTGTCTGAAGCTCGCCAAGATCTTCCTGCTAGATGGTATTTGTCGTCTTGGTAAGCAGCACAGTTTGTGTTCCACTATCAGGTATACGTATGCCTTCTGAGGACGCGGGTCTATGATGACAAACCAATGTCATGAAGAGAGGTGATGACATAAAAATCATGCTCACTTGGATTACGCTGAGGCCCAGGCTAAAGGACAGAGGGAGAAATGAGGGCCATGTCTCATCTAGACTTTATCATAGTGCAGTACACAGGCCCTCATTCACCCAACATTGGTTCCCTATCTGGGGAATCCTGTCAGGTCCAGGTGCTCTTCTTTGATGAGCACTCAGCCTGCCTCAGAAGGCACTTGTTGAAGCACACTATATATATCAAGGCTGCCAGGCATAAGCACTCTACTCATATCATTCTATTCCCTTCTGCATTTCAGTGATCCAGCATCCTGATTATTCACCCCAGTCATAAGCTATTCAGATAAGAGTCATCAGCATGCTAAGTGCCTTCATCTCTTTTGGATCTCTGCCTTCAAATATTAAAAACAATGACCTTCTAGGATTCCTGTGATACTTGGGGCACAGAACTTGTGCTCTTGCTTCCTTTTGTGGAACCTGAAGTTCTAAGCCCATAAAAAATGGTAATTTACTCTGCCTTGTCATGTATAGTTCCAACTAATAGGTATTAGGAACCAGAGCTGAGACTGTTGGGGGAGGTGGGACAAAAGGATTGGGTCAGAATGATCAGGCACTGTCCCTTGCACATCTCAGTGATAGGTTTATGTGATCTTGAAATCCATTCCTTCGAGGGTCTATCTACCTCCCATGTTGCCTGGTACTTCCGGGGCAAGAGTTACATGTTCTCGCTGTGTCAGGAGGTTCACATGCTCTGAAGTTGCAAAGAATGTGCTCAGGTATGTACAGTATACAGACTCTGGACTGCAGAAAGATCAATAAGTTATTTTTCTGTCGGTCAAATGGCAGACAGAGTCTCAAAGTGTTCTACTGCACTGATGGATATATCAGTAAATCAAGCTCAGTTACCTTTTCCTATTTTTAGGATTAGTGAATTTCTCCTGCCACGCAGGCATCAGGCAACATGAGACAATTCCACAGCTTGCTTTTAAACAGGCATTCCCCTCTTTGCCTAGATACAAAGGCTCATTATCCTGTGGAGATCAACTCACCACACATGAGTGGCATGGAATTTCAAACACATGAATGACATACAAAGCTTCAAATCAGGTTATAAGGAACGGGGCAAGAGAACATGTGTGGGGATGGTATGCATGTGGTGCTATTGCAATTAAGAACCTTGTGGGTACGCATCCTTCTATGGTGATTAGGGAGTGATGTCAGAGAATAATCGTATAGCGCTGTGCAAATAAAAGTAGATGACACGTCTTTGCCATTGTAAGACATTGTCCATAATCAGAACCTAACAGGTTTTCAGCAGACCTATAATATGCCTTCCCAATATTCTGCCAGCTAATGCTATGAATATAGGCAGTGAGGATGATGGTGAAACAGGAAAAGTTTAAGTTTGTCTAGGGGTGGCAAACAGGTAACTACCATTAAAATTTTACATTTTCACCCCAATGAATTGATTAGCAATTGACGCCAATAAACTCGATCGAGAGTTTAGATGTACAAAAGCTGTGCTTTGTAATTCTCCTGACAATAACTTGCAACTTTTGAATTCCCAAATTTTTTCTTGACTAAGAAAACTGATTCTGTATTTGAAGGAACCTAATGCTGCCTTACCATTTGTCTGAAGTTCTCTGAGACCTACCTTCTAGATGGTCTTTGTCATCCTGAAAGCTGCACTGTTTGTTTCCCCCTATCAGGCATAGCTATGCCTTCTGAGGACCCAGGAATCTGATGAAAAATGAATGTCACTTAAAGAGGTGATGACATAAAAATCATATTCAATAACATGACACTGAGTCCCAGGGTAAATAACAGGGACGAAATGTGGGCCTAGTCTCCTCAGGTCATTCTCATAGGCAAGATCACAAGCTTTCCTTTACACAGCATTGTTTCCCTTTGTGGGGAATACTGTGAGGTCCAAGTTCGGTTCTTTAGCAAAGCACTGAACCTGCCTCAGAAGGCACTTGTTAGGACAAACTCTGGATGTCACAGTTGCAAGGCATAAGCACTCTGCTCATGTCCATCTTTTTCTTCTACATTTCAGTTATCCTGGATGCACACTTGGTGCCCCAGTCATTTCATCTACAGGTAATTGGGAAGATCATATTAAGTGCTTCATATCTTTTCTATCCCTGCATTCAAACATTAGAAAGAATGAATTTCTAGGAAATCAGTGACAGTTAAGGCAATGAACATGTGCTCCCCCTTCCTTTTGGGAGTTCCCTAGGACTAAGCCCATGAGAAAAGACTGTTGATCCAAACTGCCTTGTTTTGTAGAATTCCAAGTAGTAGATACTGGGAAACAGAGCAGTGATTGTTCAGGGAGGTGGGACACATTGATTGGGTCTGGACATTCAGGCCCTGTCCATTGCACATCTCAGTGATTGCTGAATATGCTCTTGAAAGCCCTGCCTTGGGGTGTCTTTCTATCTCCATTGTTGATTGTTACAATTTAGAAAGAGCCTCATGTTCTCAGTAGGAAAATCACGGATCTACTGCCCAGTGCCCAACTGGTTGCCCAGGAATGCCCACTGAATCTTACACCCAGGGGTCAGGATCAGTCTCATTCTGGCCTCCCAGCTATCAGTGTGGGGTCCAAGTTTACCAGCTTGTTCAGATCAGCTGTCTCTGCTGGTTTTGCCAGCCCATTCTTTGCGAATTTGCTTATTGTTCCTCTCTCTGTGTCACTCAGTTCCACAGGTCCAGTTCAGTGTTTAACTCTGGATATTTGTCTCTGCTTCCATCAGTAGCTGAATGAAGGTGATAGGATGGCATATAAGATGCATGTCAAGTTCATTATCAGTAATGGACATTTAAGGTAGTCTCTCAACTATCACTTTGCTTGCCTGTTTGTGTCACACTTTTAGATCGCTAGTGTTTTCCTGGGTGCCAGATCCCTCTTCAAACTTATGACTCCATCTATTATTGTATTTCTAATCCTGTTCTTCCTCTATTTTGCCCCACTCTCAGCCTTCCTGTTCCCAATTACCAACTCTTCCCTACTCTTCTCCGCCTTTCTCTTCTTCCCATCTCCCACTCCCCCCCATCTTCTGCCATGTTCCCAAACTGTTCAGGAGATCTTGCCTCATTCCTCTTCTCTGGGGTACCATGCATATCTGCCTTAGGATTTTTTCTGTTTCACAGACTCTCCGTAAGTGGAATTGCAGACTGGCTCTATCCTGACACATATGTAAAATCCATATAGAATTGAGTATATACCGTGTTTGTCTTTTTGAGATTGGGTTACCTAAATCAGGATAGTTTCTTCTAGTGCCATCATTTGCCTGCCAATTTCAAGGTTCCACTGTTTTTTTCTGATGAGTAGTACTTCATTGTGCGAATGTACAGCATTTTCTCTATTCTCTCCTCAGTTGAGAGGCATCTAGGTTGTTTCCAGGTTGTGGCAATCACAAATATACTATTATGAACATAGTGGTACTGATGTCCTTATTGTGTGAATTTGAAGCTTTTGTTTATATGCTTAACAGTGGCATTCCTGTGTCTTGTGGTAGACTGATTCCCCTTTTCCTGAGGAATCTCCATACTGATTTCCAAAGTGGGTGTATGAATTGACACTCACACCAGCAGTGGCAGTGTGTGCCCCTCTCTTCACATCCTCTCCAGCATAAATTGTACTACTGTGTTATATTCAGGAAGTTGTCTCCTGTATGAACTCATTGATGAGTATCTCCCAAATGCTTTTCGAAGAGTTTCAATGTCGTTGGATTTATGTTTACATCTTTGATCCTTTTGGACTTAAATTTTGTGCAAGGTGATAAAAATGGATCTATCCGCAGACTCCTGCATGCCTATATACATTTATGGCAGTGTCGTTTGTTGAAAATGGTTTTAATTTTTCCTTTGTATAATTTTAGATTCTTTATCAAAAATCAGGTGATTATAGGTTTGTGGATTAATCTCAGGTTGTTAGATTGATTACATTGTTCTACCTGTAAATTTTTCAGCTAATACCATGATATTTCCAAGACTATAGCTCTGTAATAGAGATTGAAGCTAGGGATGGTGATGCCTCATGAAATTCACTTATTTATATGGTTATTGTGGGTATCCTGGATCTATTTATCCCGTTTCTTTCCACTAGCATTCTATGTAACATAGATTGGAAATACTTGTGAAATCACTGATGTATTATGCCTTCTGAGGTCCCAGGAATATGGTGATAAATGAATGTCTCTAAAAGAGTTGATGACACAAAAATCATACTCAATAACATAACAATTAATCCCAGGGTAAAAGACAGGGAAGATATTTGGGTATAATCTCCTCAGGTCATTCTCATAGGCAAGTGCACAAGCCCTCATTCACACAGAATTGTTTCCCTTTGTGGGGAATCCTGTGTGGTCCAGATGCTGTTCTTTAGGAAAGCAACGAGCCTGCCTCAGAAGACACTTGTTGGGAAAAACTATATGTCAGTGCTGCAAGGCATAAGCACGCTTCTCATGGCTATCTCATCTCTTTCCTTCAGCATTTCAGTTATCCAGGATGTAGACCATATGGCTCAAGTCATTTCCCCTTCTCATGGCTATCTCATCTCTTTTGTTCAGCTTTTCAGTTATCCAGGATGCAGACCATATGCCTCAAGTCATTTCCCCTTCAGGTAAGTGGAAACATCAGGTAAAGTGCCTTGTATCTTTTTTATCCTTGCCTTCGAACATTAGACAGCATGAAATTCTAGGAAACCAGTGACAGTTAAGGCAATGAACTTGTTCTCTTCCTTCCTTTTGGAAATTCCCTAGGACTAAGTCCATGAGAAAACACTGTTGATCAAAACTGCCTTGTTTTGTAGAATTCCAAGTAGTAGATAGTGGGAACAGAGGAGTGACTGTTCAGGCAGGTGGGACACCAGGATTGGATCCGTACATTCAGGCCCTGTCCCTTGCACAGCTCAGTGATAGCTGAATGTGATCCTGAAATACCTGCCTTGCCGTATCTTTCTACCTACCTTGCTGATTGTCACTGCCGAGAAAGAGCTTCATGTACTCACTGTGTCAGGAGGGTGTCATGCTCCAAACTTGCAAATTCGGTACTTAAGAATGTCCAGCATACAATCCCTCAACTGCAGGGATATCATTTGATTAATTCTCTGGGTCGCATAAGGCAGACAGTGTTCTAGTGCACTAATGAACATATCAGTTAGGCAAATTCAGATACCGTTTCCTTTCATTAACTTTAGAGAACTTGCCCTGCCTTGCAGGCATAAGGCCAAATGAGGCAATTAGGCAGGGTTCATCTGGCAAGGCATTCTGTTCTTTGCCTAGATTTATAGACTCATCATGATGTGGAGACCCACTCACCACACAAAATTGGCATGAAATTTCATTCACATGAATGACATCCCATGCTTCAAAGGCTTCCTTTGCGCATGTGAAAAGGAATGTGTCAAGAGAATGTGGGTAGGCATCCTAGGCAGGCTGTGCTTGCACAATTATGATGTTTGATTGTAAACATCTTACTATACTGATTAGTTAGTAATTTCAGAGGGAAATGGGATAGCGCTGTGCACAGAACTGCATATTACAGGCTGGAACTTTTATCCCAACCTTAAAATAATACAAAACAAACATTGACAAGTATAAAATATCCAGCAAAGTCAACAGAAGGAAATTTGGGCTTGGAATACACACATCTACTTCCTGCTGAAATTGGATGATGACAATCTCATTGCGACCTGTTGGAAGAAAAATGTTAGTGTAACAAGAATCTTAAGTAGGTTAGACAGTCTCAGTTTGGCACGAGATGGTTGACGGAATTTCTGGAATGGAGTTTTATTGTTGATTGAAGATCTTGCCCGAAGGTCTGGACAGATTGTAGGAGGTGCACTGTATCAGTTCCTTGTTCTCGTGTTGTGCCGATTGATGCAGTTCCAATACAGTTTCAGGGTGGATGTTGTCAGGTGGAGTTGATGAAGTGGGGCAGTTCAGATGCATCAAGTCAAATCAGGTGGAGTCCAAAAAGTGGAGCCTCATCCTCTTGCAGAGCAGTTGAAGATTGGTGTTAGGAAGTTCCTTGTTCTCTGGAAAACTCAAATATTTATGTTTACTAAGGAATTTTCAACTATTATATGTATGATTACTTTGAAAGGCAACAATAAGAATATAGTAAACATGAAGAAGATTAGACTTTCTGAAAAGGAACAGAGTACACACAAATGAGAGACCCTAATTTTGTTTTCTTCTGTCTTATATCACTATAATATTGATTTAATACAGAAACTCTGAATTTTATTTTAACAATAAGCTTGCATTAAGATTAGGAAACCCAATCCAACTCCAAAGCCAGCTTCAGGTAAATGAATGGGGACTAAAGCATATTAAGAAACAAAAATAAATGGATATTATGAAAAACAATTTAAAGAGACTTAGACTTTGATTCCACACAGTGAATTATTATTTGTTTGATGATTCTCCGAATAGCTATCAATTCTTCTTCAGGTATCCATATGTCCAGTATTTCTTTTGCTGTTTGGATATATGTTTTCCTGTGAAGACAATAAACAAAACATTTCTCATTCTTTTTTTGAGGTCTCCTTTAACCATAGTAGAATATGACCATGTAGAGAACATCTCCTGTGGTTTCTTCTTTTTGGATCGAGTCTTAATTATTATGATGGAAACCAAAATTTTTCTTCTCCTGTGGAAACAAAGCCAAAACATCTTCCACAACGTAATGCATATCTTGGTTTCCAGACTGATGTCATAACAACTTTGAAATACTCTGGATGGTGCAGTTCAGAAATTTTCTCTCAAGTCCCGTGTCATCCTGCAGCAGTTTTTCCTTTTCATTAGCATTAACAATCTTCAATGTTAATAAAACATTATGTAATCTGTGTTGGGGTCTTTGTAAAACCTGGATGCTTTTAGACACATTTTTTTAAGGTTCAGTTAGATCTTTCAACAACTGCTTGTCCTTTGGGATTGTGAGTTTCACCAGATACATGTTTTATATTATAATATTTGGAAAACGGTTCCAATTTGCTGGAGAGGTTTGTTGGAGCATTGTCAGCTTTTATTTGTGCATTTATACACATTACAGCCATAAAGTCTAAGAGTTGTGTGATAACAGAATCAGCCTTTTCAGAGCTGGAGGCAGTAATACATTGTTAATCTCAGAACGTGTCTATGGTGTGGTGTAAATATTTCAATCTGACAAATTCTTAAAAGTGAAAAATTCCGTCTGCCAAATTTCATTTCTGCAAATAACTTTGGGATTACTGCTTGCTGATAATGGACTTTGATTGTAGAATAAACAGGTGGGGCAGTTTCTTACATTTTGGACTTGTTACCAAAGGGTTGAAAAATCCTTCTTTAAAACTTTGCTGTTAACATAGTGTTTCTTATGAAAGTCTGAAGCTTCCCACACATTTTCTATTAATAAAGGATCAATCTTATCTTTGCCTTATACTAGAGGACCTGGCTCAACCATATGGGATCTGATGTGTCTTATACATATATTAGATGAGTTCTATTTCTGATGGTTTTCTGTAATTTTAAAATCAATGAGGTTAATTCTGGACCATCATGAATGAACTCTGCAGTCTCAATGAGGAAGACAACTCTCTCTGCATACTGAGAGTCTGTTACTATTTTGAGAGGCATTGTTTTTTTTTGTTTTTTTTTTTTTGGTTTTTCGAGACAGGGTTTCTCTGTATTGTTTTGGAGCCTGTCCTGGAACTCTCTCGGTAGACCAGGCTGGTCTCGAACTCACAGTGATCCACCTGTCTCTGCCTCCCGAGTGCTGGGATTAAAGGCGTGCGCCACCAACGCCCAGCTTTGAGAGGCTTTGTAAAGTCTTTAAGTA